TGGTCATAACGGATATTGATTTTTGTAATTCGTAACGCGTTTCGGTCTTAAGTTTTAGATGGCCAAAATTTCCCTAAAGAGTGAAGACCGAGATCATATCGCTCGGTCTGACCCAATGGCTAACTCTACGAGGAACAAATTCTATCTTGCTTTACTTGCATAAGAGGAAAAAATGGTTCACTACGTTGTTGTCTTGTAATTGTAGGCAGCAGAAAACACGGTACATTCTGATATTTTATAGAATAAACGTAAAAGAATAACCCTTGGGCCTTTTCTTTTTCTTTTTCATTTTGCAAAAATGGAACTTTAGAGGTTTTAAGAAATCAAACTAATTCACATGAAAATCCTATAAAATTTCCACGTTCCAAAAAGCACTCGTAGGATGCAACAGCTAGCTTCGTTAGGCTAGAGTTGTGGACCAGATCTTGGTGAGACATCAAGCTAGTGAGGAAAAAAAAGGGACGAGCCTAGATGCACGCACGTTTGGATCACACACACCACACATGGATATTAACTTGGTTTATTTGGCGTTATGCACAGTTGTTTTCCACGACACGCGCCGTCCTTTCATTGATCGACCAACATTGTATTCGTGCACTATTTTGTCTGAACCTATCAGTTTTGTCATGTACGTGAGCCAACAAACGGACACAAATCTTATCCAGATACTTGGGCACCACTAACTTTTGTTTACACATCTGTACATAATATACAGGACCATGCTCTATCACGGGACTCGCACGTACGTTACACCCGATCGAACCATATGCCTACTACTACAAACCTGATATCGACCTGACATTAGTTCTGCATGAGCATGATTGGATCACAAGGCCGGACACGAAAACAACACAAATAATCCCATGAATGCATGGTATATATCCACGATTTTTTTACCGGTTTGGCTGTGTGCATCCTAATTATACAAATACCGATATGCAAATGCCGGAAGTGTGTTCAGTGCTTTTGTATCATCTTGGTGTATTTGGTTGACCTAAAAACGATTTTTGACCGGTGCAAATGATCAGGTATTCAGGTAGATCTTGCAAATTTCTCTCTGGCCTGTCCTGGCCAAGATTGTATATTGGCGGCATAAGCAGAGGAGCACGGCCGGGGACATGGCAGAGTACTGGTTCTGCTCTGCAAACAGCGCCCAATTAAGCACGGTTAGCGTATGCGGCATATGGGAGGTCGTCGTCGCGAGGCAGGTTGTCAGATCATACAACCATGAAAGGACTGTTTCAACTTGATTAGGGATACAGGATGGGTAACAGTGGTTATGATATGAATGAAGTACATGTCTTACCTACAGTTTGACAGAGCAGAGATTTGGAGTAGCTAGCTAGCTAGATGTAAGCTTATGACTTTATGAGTATGATTGACTATCCAACCTTGTTGTAGTGTTTCAGTCCCTAGATAACCTCTTCTGTAAATTGTCCTGTTTGGTTCATATGGATTAAATCACATCGGATGTTTCGACTTTAATTTATAGTATTCAACATAGATTAATTATATAACCCATTCCATAACTTTGGACTAATTCGCGAGACGAATCTATTGAGACTAATTAATCCATGATTAGCCTATGTGATGCTATTGTAAACATTTGCTAATTATGGATTAATTAGGTTTAAAAAATTCGTTTCGCGGATTATCTCTCATTTATAAAATTAATTTTTTATTAGTCTATGTTTAATACTCTAAATTAGTGTCAACACATCCGATGTGACGGACTAAAAATTTTTAGCCCCATCCAAATACCCCTAGATCGGATGAGTTCTATAAATAGTTGTACAGAAATCAGCTTAATTGTCACAGGAATTAGGACTTGTTTCAAACGGAACATTTGCCATGTTTAATAAAGCTTCGGAGACTTCAATAAGTAGCTGATCGGTATATAGTCATTAATCCCTCCATCACGCAAAAACAAAAGCGACACATTAGCACATAATTAATTAATTGTTAGCTAATCTTTTTAGAAAAATAGGTTAATATGAATTTTTAAAGCAACTTTCATATAATTTTTTTTAAAAAAGAACGCACCGTTTAACTGTTTAAAAAACGTCAGCATGAAAAACGAAAGGTATGATATTGGAGCTCAGACAAACCAAAAACACACCCTTAATCCCCTAAAGTACACCATCATACTAATAATATCCTTAGTTACTAAGAAACTTTGTATGTTTGTTATCAAAACCGGCATCGAAATCAACATCGATATCAGACAATGCAGTCGCTTTAGGAGATTAGATCCAGACGTACTAGTAACACATAAGCACAATATTTATTTATTATGATGTTCAACCGAATACTACAGCCTTGTTTGCCTTGTTTAGTTGGGGAAAATTTTTAAGTTTAGTTGTCATATCGAATATACGGACACACATTTAAAGTATTAAACATAGTCTAATAACAAAATAAATTACAGATTCCGCCAGAAAACTGCGAGTCGAATTTATTAAGCCTAATTAATTCGTCATTAGCAAATATTTACTGTAGCACCACATTGTCAAATCATAGCGCAATTAGGCTTAAAAGATTCCTCTCGCAATTTACACGCAGTCTGTGAAATTGGTTTTTTTTCCCTATATTTAATACTCTATGTATATGCCAAAACATTCAATGTGACAACGTGAAAATTTTTATTTTAGGAACTAAACAGGGCCTACATCTCCTATACATGACCATATGTGGATGCTTCTCCTAAACTCGCATAATTACATAGTATTAGAATATTGACAGACATAGCAATTATATTAGCGCAATAAGATGGCGTTATGTTTAAAGAACTAGGAAATACGGACATGTCTAAGGACTTGTTTGGTTCAACTTAAGATTATTATAATCTAAATTATCATGAGTAATTTGAAATAAATAGATAGATTATTGTGAAAGATTATTATAAAATAGAACCCATATTGGTATGATCTGGTAATCTCCTTCAACGGTGCTTTTTCCTTATTATTGGGTGGCTAAATAACCACTGCCCCTAATGACTTAAAAAAATTTACTCACCTTTGCCATCCACCCATACCAATAGTTGAGGGTATTACAGACTTTAGCCATTTAAACCCAATAATATATGTCTCCAGTAATAACACATATCTTGCAACTTATTCTACTTTAACGTATTATAATTCAGTTTAACGTATTATAATTCACTTTATAATAATCTCATTAATAATTTAGATTACGATAATCTTGAAACAAACAGGCCTAGCTAACTCAATCTCACGCGACATATCCTCGGGGGCACATCGTTTCATAAACCAAGGGCCACGTAATGTAGGGTCTGTTTGGGAGAGCTTCTGGCTGCTGCAGCTTCTTCCAGAATCAGAAGCTTCTCCAAACAGTCTATTCTGAGAATCTGTAGATGTAGAATTTAGAAAAAGAATTAGAAGTCAAAAGCTAGGAAACCCAGCTTTTCCAGATTCTTAGAAGCTGGCTTCCAACCAGCTACTTGTCAGAATCTTCCAAACATGCCTGCGGTAATGTACGCATACGCAGCCTGTCGGCAAGCTGAAGTTGGTCGCCATCCATTTACTCCCAAGATTTCATTGTGATCAGTTACAGAGTAATTACTGAGAAACCGCAGTACGTGACGACATCACAGCAGGAAAATAATGGAGGGGGTCGTATATACGATGATCTGATGGTTAGTCCTGGCGTGAGATCTGACGGTTTGCAGCTCGGCCGGGGCATGGAGCCATGGATCGATGTCAGCGAAGAGGAGGCACAAGAGTCCATCCCAAAATGTGCATGCATGCAATGCAGATGGGCCACTAGCTCTCGTCGATGCGAGATGTGAAAAATAACAAGACAAGATTTTGCCCGTTGGTTCTACGCTTTCTGGTTTGGCGATTTTGGAGGGTTTCACCAAAGTTCAGAGCCTTGTGATTCGTGCTGTACGTATGAACAAAAGTATTCTGTACCAGGTTTGCTAAGTTTCAGAGTACGTACAAAGCTCCCCCCCCCCCCCCCCCCCACGTTAGCCTTTGTTTTTAACCCCTGCGTCAGCAGAATCCTAGATGGAAAGAGGCGCAATTTGGTTACTAGTTAAACTGCCGTGTCGTCGTATTCCTGTTTTGTGTGGCCAAAGATATGGTGCCTCTCGGACCTCTTGTATATATATTTAGGTGCTAAATAGTTGTGTCTATCATCGATGAAACGAGTAATTAGTATGCATAAATGTCAATGGCTTTTCATGTAACGAGTTGCGTTGTTGATTTCTCATGGATTCAGCAATTTGCTCTCTAATCCAAACAAGAGGGCTATAGGATGGGCCTCCGAATGGGCGATCTTAGGGGGTGAACCGAACCCTATCCGCCCCACTCCATCTCCTACCCTCCGCCTTATCGTTATTGGAGCAAGCCGTGCGTCAAGCGGAAGGAGGGTGACGACGGGATTGACTTGCGGCATTTTTTGTTTGCACGACATGTCGCTGTAAAATCTAGGTGAGGTGAGGCAGTTGGCATGGCACGTTGGAGGCGGCGGCTCCACCGCGCCGGAGTTGCCCATTGGGCCACCTTTAACATCTGTCTCCACCGCTTCCCGTCTCCTCCACTGCTAATGCCATATGGATATGAAAAACGGAGGTTCAGACACCACATTGCTAGCCACCATCTACTGACCTGGTTCCGCCATCCATCTTCAATGTTGTGCTTAGGAAAGCCACCGCTGCCAATAGCTAATCTTACATGTTATTTTTATTAATATCATAAAAAACTTTTGTAGCAATGCACAGAGTTTTATCTAGTTATTTTTAAAGTGAGTGTATTTACCGTTGAATGTCTTTACCTACACAATAGTACATGTTACCTCAAACCATGATAGATAGAAAAGGTACAGCTCTTGCATGCGCCTTGGTCTGTACATCCGGTGTGCGGTGTGTGCCAACTGCTAGTGACAAGTTGGCAATCTTAAACTTTGCAGAGCTTCTCTTTGGATTCCTTCCTCAATCTCTGAAACTTTTCTACTTATTACAACAGTGCTGCGTCTGTATGCGCGCGCCGGCCATCGCGAACTTCAACCTCAACTTCTTCAGAGTTCGTAATAACTTTTTTGCAAGCATTGAGGTTGGCAAACACAGTAATAAAAAGAACCAGGAGCAAGTGATGGATATGATGCATTGTTACCACTTACCACCACCAGACAGAGAGAGACAAGCTTGGTAGAGCGTCCTGGCGTGCTTGGCATCAGCGTAACTGCTGCTGATGAAAGGTGAGACTCTGAAAGGAGTCAAATGTAGTCACGCTGCACGTACGTGTACCAGTAATCCGATGAGATGAACAACGAGGCAGGGTTATTGAATTTCTCGGTCGGATGTTTTCTGGCACTGCACGTCGGCTGCCACTCTCGGGGCACTGTTATTATAGTGTGCAAAATATATCTCAATTGGGCCAAAAATACGACTTCTGTAATGGGCGCTATCTCTAACGGACATAAATAGAAGCCCGACACTAACAAGAGTCATCGGTGACTGGCAGTAAGGCCATCTCAATCGGGCCTTTGTTGGGCCTAGTAATTATGCCCGATTGAGACATAGGTAGTAATCTCAATCGGGCCTAACTGTGAGCCCGTCACTGATGAGTGTCATCGGTGACGGACTATAGTTATATGCACCTTGCTTATATCTGTACGAGTACATCTACAACGGTATTAATTTAGGCTCAATTGAGATGACTTCATTCTGACGGCCCATATTGCCCAGGCATGTGATGGGCCGTCACAGATGAGAGAATCTGTACTAGTCAATGATGTTTGTTTTCGTCTAGAGGAACGCGCTGAAAGAATAATACTCAAATGGATCGTTTATGTGGTTCAGTTCCCCTTTCTTTCCAAATAGATTGTTTTCTATCTTTATAACATGTTATTTATGCCTAGCACATTGATATCTCTATGTGAAAACTAAATCTCACAAAGAAACCAGGATATGCCATGTCATCTAACAAGTATTAACCGTCGGATGCACTTAAAGACAAAATAAGTCGAATCAATCTTTACGATTGGATGAAACTTAAGTATAGTTGTAAAAAATGTACTCCCTCCGTCCAAAAAATAAAGGCAAATCTTAGATTTCTGTGTCCAACTTTAACTGTCCGTCTTATATGAAATTTTTTTATAATTCGTATTTTCATTGTTGTTAGATGATAAAACATGATTAATGTTTTATGCGTGACTTATCTTTTTAATTTTTTTCATAATTTTTTTAAATAAGACGGACGGTTAAACGTTGGACACGGAAACCATGGTTTGTTTTTTTTGACTAATCAGTTTCATATTTAGTTCTTCACGTACTTGAACTGATTATTTTTCACTGCAAAAATGCAGGTACGAATAATTCAGCAAGCAAAATTCTGGTAATCACCTTGCCGACAGTGACAGTTGCCATCGTAGCTGCAATTTCCCTTTGTATCTGGAATGTGCGTAAGAAGAGAAGTTTGGCGAGATACTCCAGACGTGAGTCCTCTGCACATAATTTTGGCATATATATTCTTGTTAACATTCTTATACCACCAGCGTCCATTAACATTTCGTCAAATTCATGCAAATTTGCCAGCTGATACAACTGAGGATTTTGAAAGTGTCAAGTCAGGCCTGTTATCTCTGGCATCGCTGCAAGTGGCAACCGATAACTTCCACAAAAGCAAGAAGATTGGTGAGGGGGGATTCGGTGAAGTTTATCAGGTAGTAGGCCCGTAGTCGTTACGTCTACTTCTGAATCATTGTTGATTTCTTTTGAGAAAAAAATGTTGATTTGATGGTGTGAATTGGCAATGGTCAAAATATAACTTCTAAATTAATGACTAGAAGTATGAATGCACTACTGCTCAATTGTGAGTGAGTCGCAAATTTTGTGTCCTCTTGAAACAAATGGCGAAGCTCCTGCCCCTTGTTTTAGAAAAAAAAACTATTAGTGCAGATTATTTATAGTATTTTATTAATAGTGAAAATATATTACATCCTCGACTTTAGCCACATAATAATTAGCTAACAAGTTCTTTAACTTAAAAAAGACATAGGTGGTGAGACAAATCCTCAAATACCTTTGAAAGAAAACCAATCGATATACTTAAAAAACACAAATTCTAGCAACAAGTAAGCCTATATGTATTAGGCCACACATAGAAAGTAAAAGACCTTCGGTAACTAGCTCTAAGAATATATAGCATATCCTTGCGCATAACATACTGCTCCACCCATCGTAATAACATAGACCAACATTTGAACCAGTTGGACAGATAACCTGCATTGCAGAGTTAGACAACATTTTTTTTGTTATTAAGACTTTTATCATTTTCTCAATGCCAAATTGACGAATTTCAAGCGTCTAGGCACTCCCGAAGTGAGTTACTAAATTTTTTTGGCACATCAGGAGGAGGCATATTGTAAGGAGAAGAACACATTGTCGTGCAAAATGAGCAACATGGCAATCAAAATAGGTGTTGAATTGTTTCTTGCACATTGTAGAAACTATATTGCTTGTGTCCTCTCCAATTCCTTTTAGGGAGGTTATGTTTCATTAAGATTACTTTTCTATAATTTCTATAAAGAAATCACATACAAACTTTGATTTTTATAGTAACCTTTAAAATTAGTTATGTTATATTATTAGGTTTTTAACCCATTACAAAATTTTGTATTTCTGTCCATGTCTCCATGTATAAGTTAGTAAGAAAATAAGATACTAAGCTAAATTATTTAGGGACTACTGTCCGGGCAAGAAGTGGCCGTGAAGAGGATGGCCAAGGACTCTCACCAGGGGCTACAAGAGCTGAAAAATGAGCTAATTCTTGTCGCCAAACTTCATCACAAGAATCTTGTTCGTCTCGTTGGGTTTTGCCTCGAAAAAGGGGAGAGACTGCTCGTCTATGAGTATATGCCAAACAAAAGCCTCGACACCCTTCTTTTTGGTACTATTAGCATTATCTTTGATCATTTGTTACTCCTGTAATCATTTCACTCCACCAATAATAGTGACTTTTCTAACATTTGGTGAAAAAAGATACAGAGCAAAGGAAACGGTTAGACTGGGCCACACGATTTAAGATCATAGAAGGTACCGCTCGGGGACTCCAATATCTTCACCAGGACTCTCAGAAGAAGATCGTCCACCGTGATATGAAGGCAAGCAATATTTTGCTAGATGCTGACATGAACCCTAAGATTGGGGACTTTGGCCTCGCCAAGCTCTTCGAGCAGGACCAAACTCGAGAAGTCACAAGCCGCATTGCTGGGACATTGTAATTAAGTTGATGGAATACTTTATATTTTTATGCTTATATTAACTAGCAAAGTAATACAATCATCATTGTGGATGCAGCGGTTACATGCCTCCTGAGTACGTGATGTGCGGGCAGTACTCTACAAAATCAGACGTGTTCAGTTTCGGCATTCTCGTAATAGAGATAGTGACGGGCCAAAGAAGGAACAGTGGGCCATATTTCTCTGAGCAAAATGGTGTAGATATATTGAGCATAGTGAGTATCCCCGGTAGTTCACATAGGAATTCATGATATTGCTTTGCATTGCAATATTTGCGTATTTGTGTATAGCCGCACATGTCTATCGTAATAACTACTGACTGCTGAAGACATACATATTTGTGACTATTGCTAGGTATGGAGGCACTGGGAAGAGGGGACAACAGCAGAGATGATCGACCATTCCTTGGGAAGAAACTACAATGAGGCTGAGGTGGTAAAATGCATCAACATCGGACTCCTATGTGTCCAGCAAAACCCTGTAGATAGACCTACAATGGCGGATGTCATGGTTTTGCTTAACAGCGACGCTACTTGCTCTCTGCCGGCTCCTGCACCTAGGCCAACATCTTTGATTGATGGAAGCTCTGGTTACTCAACAGGTTACTCAACAGAATGGTCTGGTTGCAACCAATTGGTAGCTGGGAGCTAGATTTGTCACCGATGTTGTTGCTTTGTGTTGTTTCATATTCAAACTATTTGTTCTCGATTTGCAATCCATAGCATCCAAGTTCAATTAGTGAAGAGTTTTGAGGGACTATTACTCCTCGGGGGTTAAATATAGTTTAACTAGTTGATACCCCATGCTTTGCTGCAAGATGTGTAAATGAATACATGTTATACAATATAGAAATGGTAAATGTATATGTTTAAATAATGTGAAAATGATGTGGAGATAATAATTTGCCATTGCTTGTATATTGAGTTCTAATAATACAGCAAAATTGTAAATGATACGTAATGTTTGCATGATATTTAAAATAGTCTAGATAATAATTGCTAGTATGGGTGATGATGTCGCACACTTGCATGATGAGTTTTAGGAGTTAATGGGCATCAATTTTATAGTAAGAAAGGATTAATGAAAAGTGTCCACATTGGGAGATTCCTATCCCATTCAATCTCTCAGGCAGCTCGCTCCATGCTTTTCGTCTCAACTCCTTCTCTCCTCTTTATGTGTTAAAGATTGGGTTCAGAGATAGCCCTTTCCATTGTGAAATCAAGGTGTTAGATTCAATCTATATGATGAACAAATAGTCAAAAGTGAGTGTTTTGGAAATTATGGTGAATACTGTTTTCGCGGGTGAACAGTGCAGGGTGGCACTAGGTTGCCGGTCAGATCGGCAGATTCCGTGGGGAGTTGGTTTCGGATTGTTTTCGTGGAATTTCTAGAGCTCAACGGGATTTACCATTTGTAGTTTATAACATTTATATTTGAAAGCATTTAAAGTATAATACAAACATTACAAGTTTCGAAGATGTGAAGTAAAATAAATAACATCTCCAATTTATACAATGGTAAGTAAGTTATACATCTAGTAAAAGGTCTTGGGAATAGAAAATGATAATCATATTTGCATATGGATCTCTTAGAGGAACAACCATGAAAATCGATTTTCACATATAGTTGTGGGACCGTCTACAAAATTGACGATATAAATGTTGGAGATGTTGAACTAAAATAATAAGCGATATCTCTTCCTTTATCAAGAAACTCAATTTGAGGGATTTTTTTATATACCGGTAAATATTCGCTACCGTATTCGTTCCGTCTCGTATTCGCTCCGTATCTGTATTCGATAATATTCGATTTCATTTCCGTATCCGAGTTTTCAATTCCGATTCTGATTCCGAAAAAAATATATGAAGACGAATATGATAAAGTTAGTTTCTGTTCGTTTCCGATCCGTTTTCATCCCTAGCGGCGGCGGCGGATGGCGATGGGCGGATGGGGATTTGGCGGCGGCGGCCGAGGGGACCGCGAGCTGAGCAGAAGGACTTGGGGAAAAGGGGGAGAAAGATGAGGAAGAAGAAAGGGTTGTAGGGACTGACACGTGGGACCCACTATCATAGACTTAGAATAGAGAGGGTGGATGGAGAGGCTGTTGGAGTAAATAACGAGTTTGACTTAACAAATTAGATGGAGAGTTAGCCAAATAAATATTTGGAGAGTCAGATTTGGAGAGACTATTGGAGATGCTATAATAGCATGGTTATTTTTGACCCTCTATCTTGCCCATTCCATTTGGCTAACTTGCCAAAAAGATCTCTCTCTATGTTTTCAGTGTGCTCCAATAACCTCTCCATCTCACACTCTCCGAATTTCGTGGACCCCACATATTAGTGTCTTAAGAACTCATCTTTTCTTCCTCTTCTCTTTTATTTCCTCATCCACCCACCGACGACCACTCCTTGTGACCTCCGGCCAACGGCCACTCCAGAGCTAGGGACGACATAGTCCCCGTGCCACCCACGCCGCTCGGCTCCTACCCCCGTGGCGGCGACCTGTGCAGCCTGCTACATGCTCCATCAGCATGACGATGGCGTGGTGGACGTGGCCATCTTTGGGGGTGATGAGGATGGTGGCCAGGGTGGGGGAAGAAGGAGGGGGGGGGTACATGGCATCCGTCGAGTTCCCACACTTGCCTGGCGCTCGTGGGTAGGAGGGTAGGCCAATGCTCAGTGCCTTGGGGTCCGTCGAAGACGTCCCACTAGCAGTGGGTAAGCTCGTGTAAATCGAAACCAGCTAGCGGAGCCGATTTAGATGATATAGGGATAAACACCCATCTCGTAAGCAGAACGGAAGAATTTCGGGACAAACCTACAAGAGAATTTACACTCTTGCGGTGAGGACGGACGGCTTTCAGCTCAAACCAACGAAGATAGACAAAAACTAGGCTTGAACTAGGTAAAAAGTAGATGCGATATTGAAAAAGTGATTCCATTGGTTAATTGTGTTGGAGTAGATTGTGTGCTCAATTAAACCGGCCATAGTCCTTATAAAGAGGTTAGTCTTGCCTCCTACAAGATCTTATCCACGTTTCATTCGGGATAAAGACCAATTAGAACTTGAAAATCCTCAGCCCAAGTAAGAGAACCCGAGACCCAATGAAATTCAAGTCGGATTAGGACTCAGCCGGTCTGACCAGCCACATGTCGTAGGTCAGACCGGCCCCATGAAAAAAAAACTGGTCCTTTCCAAATTCAGCAATATTTTCCTATCCCGTGCTTAGGTACCATATTTGGATGTTAACATGTAGCTCTGGTGGTGCCCGTGATCCGGCACCTCTCTGCTATGTGCTGTCATTGTTAGCAGGGGCCACGGTGGTGGCTAGGTTGGTAGACGGCCGATGCGAGAGAGAAGAAGGGAGTAGCCATATAGGGAAGCGGAATGTGTGTGAGGTCACCATTGACAAGTCATTTAGGCCAGTCAAGTATGGTCAGCAAGGAGAGGGATTTGGCTGGCCGAATGGCTTGGCGTTAGTTGGAGAGGTTGTTGGAGCGCGTTTTTGTTTTGCTAGAATTGTTAAATTTTGATTTAGAGAGCCATTTGGAGAGCCTGTTGAAGACTCTCCTATTCTTTTTGAGCTAAAATAGTCTATTTATTTGTATTGTTAACAAATAATTTGGGTAAAGGTATCTAAGCAATGTTGCATAAGGAAATTTTTAGAGAATCATATTTTTAGAGAAATTCATGCACACTAATAATCTGGGGCCATAAGCTTTTTTTTTCAAAAAAATAAACAGGACCTTAGGATATCAATCACTTGGCAAAGTGGGAAAAAATGTGAAGATGGGAAAAGGAGACTTACTAACCTGTATGCACCTGAATTTCCTGAAATTTGATTGCCTTTTATGTTAAGAAAAGAGCAGTTCTCTCTGTTTTGGTAGACAGATCTTAAGTACAGCATCAAGCAACATAAATCATTTGTGTGCATGAATTGCATTTGACCGTGGTGTTTAACAGGGAACTGATCGGTTTAACAGGAAATTAAACTGACAAAATTGTCTGTATCTGCAGCATTGCTATGCAGAAATGTACTCGATTGCTATCTGTTCCCGACGTAGGAGTAGGTTTACATTTGCTATTACTCCTACGACGGTGCTGCTGTTTCGGTGTCATGCAGCAGCAGCATCAGCAGCTTCCAAGCAGACTGCAGGCTTGACGCCATTCTTCTGAATATTTCTGTCCGGAAAAATGGCAGCCACTTTCACCATTGCTCTTTGCCTTCGTTATTTATAACTTTTGAGCGGTCAGACGGCAGGCCATGGGTACAATTTACAGGGAGCATACGGTGAAGTCAGAAGTCCTTCTGCAAGAGCATGCAAGGGTCAAACAAGAACAGTAGCACACTGATGTGGTTTTTTTTTTCTAAATATCCATTCCGTTTCCGAAAACCAGAAATAATTTACTATTCAAACTTCGATGGAAACAACACAGTTTAGATTCCAACTTTTTTCTTCAAACTTCCGACTTTTCCGTCACATCGAACTTTCCTACACACACAAACTTTTAACTTTTCTGTCACATCATTCCAATTTCTTCAAACTTCCAATTTTGGCGTGGAACTAAACACAGCCTAAGGCATAATTTAGATGCCAGCACTTTCAGTCGTAGCTAGATGTCTTTCACGACATTCCTAATTACTCAGACCAATGTTGACAACCAATCCTGCTCTGCCCCCTTGGGATGTCTCCTTATCAATATGTCAAACAAGCCTGTATACAGAATATATTGTGTTAAAATGGTCAATAAAAATACTACCAAGGCTGAAGGCAAGAAATGTTAAGTGCTTCCTTATGGCAGAGGATGAGGTCAGTTTATCTAGAAATGCTAGTGACGAGATGCACTAAAACACAATAGGGCAACATATACTGTAAAACCATTCCTGGCCTATCTTGTTGATCCTTGTTCCTTGACCTAGTATTGTGCATGACAAGAAGCGTCAAAGCTAACAAAATGCTAGAGGTTATTTATAATGAATCCAGCATAAATGAACTCAGTTGGTTTATATATGTGAAGCTATAGGCAATTACTAAATTATATTCACAAGAATGGTCACATTCAGTTTATTTTCATACATAATTGACATGTACTCCGCATGGCCAGTGATCTAAAAGTGTGAATGTTGTTCCAAACTGGAAATCAGTTAGTAAAAAAAACTAATATCTAGAACGGCAATTTTTTGAAGAACATTGCAAACCGTCACTGCATTCCCAACTCCCTGATCTGACTATCTTTCCAAACAGCATAACACAATTCGGATGCAGCAACAATAAGTCATCGATTGTGGGGAATTACGGATAACTGGAAATAGATAATTCAGATATGCCAAAAGTAACTGCGTGCATGTTAATTGGACTGAAAACAGACCGACCATAACCAAGATAGAAAACATATATAGTGCATAGTTTACAGTCTTAGGCACTAACAAGTTGGCAAACCACAAATAATCAACACGGCGACAATGGTTAACGAAAAATGAGATAATATAGGCACGGTGAAAAGTAAATGGTATAGGAACACCCAGGAAGGTAAACACATATAATCACCAAAAGAGTTCACATGGAAAGAGCTAATCTCTCAGGGGACAGCAAAACACAATTATCAAGATTATTACCATGGTATGCGCCAATAAGACCACCAAAGGC